ATTTAACGATTTAACCTAACTTATCTCTATAAAGTTGAATTTTCGCTTATATCTTTTTTACAGTTAATCGAAAACCTAGTTTTAATTTTTTTTTATTTAAATAGCCAACTTAATTTGTGAACTTTTTTGTACCAGCTTTATCGGTTTCCCGAAATTAAGGGTCCAGAGTTTACCAATGCATTCTGCATACAAGAAAACACTAATTTGTTTAATAAACATGACTTGACGTTGTAAAATGAAACTTTTGTTTCAAAGCCTTCTTCTAAATTTAAATGAATATGACATTTTTATGCTAAACAGTGTAATTTATAAATATATTTTTCCCGAAAATGGTGCATCTAAGCAGTTTAAATTTTAGTAGAAAGCTCTTAATTTTTATGATTAATTTTTTTTTAATATTCGTCCGAATTTGTTCCTCTATACCCCAAATGGTACAACTGTGGTTACATTTTGACAACGACTAAAAAATTATGTTATGTTTATTGGGAATTAAATTTATAAAAAATCAAACAAACACTTACAAAATATCTTATATACCTATGTATTAAAAAGTTAAAATGGAAAGAGTATTGAATAGTTATAATAAAAATAAAATAAAAAATAACAAAAACCATTAATGTCACATTAAAAAAAACGCATTATACACTGAACCAAAAAGGTACGTAATATTAATAAAAAAGTTATTGGCTTAACGAACTCTGTTTATCGTTTTTCGTCCGATGAACGAGTTTATTGGGCCAACGAATACTTGTACATTAGTCGATGTTTATAATTTTATCACTCAATTAACTTTTTTAATTGGGTTAATAAAAATATTTATTGCTTTAATAAATATTATTATCGAATTGATGGATATGTTTGTAGAACCAATGAACTTTTTTATTGATGCAATCAAGATATTCGTTCATTCAATCAACAGGTTTATTGATTATATAAAAATATTTATTGATCCAATAAACGGGTTTATTAATCTATGAACACATTCATAAGCTCAATCATTTTTGTTCATAAAATCAACGAACGTATTCATTGATCTAATAAACGGGTTTATTGATCCAATGAACACATTCATTAGCTCAATCATTCAATCAACTCGTTCATTAATCTAACGACACTATTTACACTACTTAATACACTACTTAAATAAAAGAATACATTAAAAATAAATAAACATTTATTGTCAAAAACTATGCATTTAACATGTTTGCCTTGTTTATGGAATGGAAAAGATGAACAGTTGGTGAAAATATACCATTACATATTTTTATATACTAATTTGTAGTGTTGTAGGGCCCATAATACTGCCGCATAAAATATTGAAATTACTTTCATCCTCAATGTTGTCCAGCAAACATTTTGTAGACTTTTCTTTAAGGTTACCTGGAACTTTCAAAAAATCAAAAATCCTCTGAAAGCATTCCTCCCAATGGCTAAGTAAGCAGTCGCTCTTGGAAAATGCTCCTTCAAAATCCATATCAATCTAAAATAAATCATCTCGTAATATTATAATAGTATACTAAACATTCGATTTTTAATTCATACTTCGTACCAATCGATATCCATTTGGAATTTTGTATTGAGACAATTTTTTCAAGATTTGTTCACAGTTTTCTGCCATTTCTAGATCGTTTAATCTGTACCATGTCTTCCAATAGTTATCATGTCCTTAGGCATGCTTCTCCGTCAGTTTCCGGAACTACAAATTTATATTGATTTAACAAAAGTTTTCTAAAAGTTTTGATTAAAAAAGAATCCAAGTTTTTAAGAATATTGAACACATCCTTTCGAGAAAAAATATTGTTATTGTGTATACATATAAGGCCAAGACAAATTAAGCTGCTTCATTATTCAATATTTTTTTGATATTCATCTATGATGAAAGTACCGGGTTTTTTAGATTCATCATTTAAGATGTTCTTGTCGATCTGGTGAGCAATAATAGGAATATTTTTAGTTGGTTGATCAATTTATTTAAAATACCCTATAATGGTATTTGAACTGGATAGTTGAGATTCAACAAAATAATTCGTCTCCGCTATCAAAATTGTATCCTTGCATAGATTTTGCAACGATTAACAAACAACCTTTTGGCGCTTAAAATGTCTAATCCTTAACGAAAGTGCAAAACGATTATGACAAAAAAGCAGTGCATAGTGAAATATGTAAATTGAAATGTACTTACCCTTTGGAATTTTAAACCAGAATATCAACTTAAACTTCACCTTTATATAAAACCCAAAGAAATTGATTTGCGTAAATAATAAGTATCGCGAGGGAACCTCTATATCCTTTGCGACGAGACCTTCCTTCGCCTAGGTAATGGACTAGACTGGATAAATCTTATAGTGTCTTTTGTGAAATTTACCTATGTCCTGGCAATTTTTGTTTTAACCAATAAAATCTCTTATATTTTATGTACTGTTTATCAGCTTAATAAACGCATTTATTGGCCCAACGAATGTATTCATCAGTCAATAAATGTTCGTTGAGTCAATGAATGCATTTATTGGCTTAGAAAAACCCTTATATCAGTTAATAATTGAATTCATTGTCCTGACGTACAATTGTTCGTAATATCAATCAAAATATTTCTTTAAACCAATGTACACGTTCATTTATTTATCGAACTGATTCATTGATATAACGAATGCATTCATTGATTAATGCCCAGTATTCATTAATCTGACGAATTTTGTTTATCAATTTACGTAAACGCGCTTGATGTACTATGTTTATTGGCCCAATGAACACGATTCATTGGGTCAGTAAAAAAAGTTACTGACTTCGTAGGAAAAAAGTAATGAACAGTAATTCGTTAAACCAATAACCCTGTTAATCATCCAAGAACCCCTAATAATTGACTTAACGATTATATTCATTGTGCTAATAAATAAATTTCGATAAATAGTGTTTATTGATATTACGAACAAAATTATTTTCAGTGTATGTATTAGCGTCCAACGGGCATATCTTCCAAAGCTAATGCTGGAGCATGATGGATTGTAGTATGTTGTGCAGCACGAGCACAATCACCACCAACAATGGTATTCTTGGCTAGGTCGATTATATTTTCCAAATATACGAGCCTTTGCTCCACCACGCCAGGAGCTACGACGTCTGGATTTCGCAGGTGGCTTTTTACAAATGCTTTAATCTTTGACCAAATTATTTCAATGGGATTTAGCATTGGGGAATAGGGACCTAATTTTAATAAGGTTGCACCAGTTCCATTAATAATATTTTCTAAATGGGAATGACAAGGTTCATTATCGGCAACAATAACCAAGTCAACCAATTGATTACCCGTATCTTGCCACCTTTGTAACAGGGACATAACCCAAGCGTTTGCTAATGGAGCAGTGAATGAACCTCCCCGGCGTTCCAAAGCTGCAACTCCTGCTGCAGAAATTGCTCCAATAAGGTGTACGTTAGGACCTCTTGAAGCTGGAAGAGATTGTACAGCCCTAATACCAGCTTTAGCATGCCCTCTTGTTCTCCTACAGAATAGATTAAAATTTGTCTCATCTATCCAAACTACTTGTTTTCCCTGCTCTATTAGACTATTAAGCGTCTGTACATATATAGCTCTTTTATTTTTATTATCTATGGAATTCATAGTGACCGGCTCATTGTGCACCTGTTTTACTGTAAATATACGCCCCTCTAAGTAGTTACCTACGGTCGATAAGGAAACTTCTTTATTATAATGCTGCCTTATTTTCTGATTCAACTGTGTAAGTGTTAGGCTACAATCTTGTTCCAACCAACCAATTATGCCATCAATTTCTTACTCATTAAGTAACTTTGGTTTTTTACCCCCCTTGGATTGTGGTCTTGCATTTCCAGATCGAACCCAATTATATGCGGTTTTATATACAATATTTAATTGGTTAGCTAGAGCAACCCAATCTTCACCCCTGTTTGAAGATATTACTATTCTTTCTCTATCCCTTTCTGTATATTTTCTATGCTCTTTTCTTTCAATTGGCTCCCGATTTACTATTTCTCCTCTGAAAATTGGACACATTGGTTCTTGTAGATGACTAATACACTTTTCATGGAAAAGATGCCTGCATGGCATACATCGTAATACCAGCTTTCTTAACATCGTCATTCTACAAATTCCACAATTTTCTTTAAGTTCCATATTATTTTTTACTGTTGTAGAATGGGAATAAGAAAATTAATTAAATGACTTTTTTGTTATTTGGTTATTTTGTCATGACAATAAAGTAATAAAAAGCCTGTATATTAGCAAAATAGATGCATCTATATTTTTTAGTTTTTATTAGTTGTCTACTAAATAAAGACTCTGAAATACAATTGACAACTTCTTAAACACAATTGATAACATCTAAAATAGAGTTTATGTTTTATAATTTTAAAATGACAACTTCTGAGTTCTTATTAACGCTTTCTTAAATACAATTTACAAATCTGAAATACAATTGATACATTCTAAAATAAAATTGATTAATCTTAAATGGAACTGATATCTTCTAAAATACAATTTACTAATCTGAAATTTAATTGATGCTTTCTTATATACACTTGGATAATTTAAAATTAAATTAATACTTTCTGAAATACATTTTTTTAATCTGAACTACAATTGAACTTTTCTGAAATACAATTGGAAAAGGTGTAGTATCGAACAACTTGTAGTGTCACACCAAAGCAAAGGATATGAGCTTATATATTCTTCATGTAAGTCAACAGAGGCGAGATTTAAGAACATTACGTGATCCACAAAAAATGGGTCAACTAAATTAATATACCTAGTTAAATGAACTATTTCTTTTTTTCTGTGTAGGTGCACTTCTCAAATATTTTTAGAAAAACACCGTTTTGGTGTTCATTTTTAACCATAATTCATGGTGTTATATTAACACCACTTGGTGTTGGATTTTGACACCATTTTAGGATTACTTTTTACACCACAGATATTTTAAACAGTGTAGTAGGTAGTAGGATTAAAGTTATTTTTAATAAAACCATAGTATCTACGAAAGTTAAGTATATTAAACTCTTATGAAAATAAATATGTACAAAAATTTATAGTATATGCTAATTATTTATCGTAATGCAGAGGCAATCCCTTCAGGTAAATTAACTTTACTGTGAACTAATACTTCTAAAGCTGTCGCTATTCGTTCCAAAGCCTTTACTTTGGCCCATTTTACTGCTACCAGTTCCTCTCTGTATTTTTCCTTGCTATCTTTTTCTTCTTTGTTATCATTTACATTTGAGGGACATTCTACAACTAAAACCAACAGGTAACAATCTAAGAATAAATACCTTATGTTTACATGGGGATTTAAATTAGGTTTTACCTTTAAGGAATTCTTAAAATCTAGTAAGGTAATAATAAAATAATAAAATTTACTTTAACTCCTGACGCGATTTATGATTTAAAATTTTAAGCATTTTAAAAAAATAAAAAATGACGTATAATAATTACCTTTCGGTACAGTCTTTGTATTAGTCAGAGGAATCAACCTTGGGGGCTCGATTAGAGTCAAAGGAGGAGGCCCTTGGGAGGTGGATGGAGAATTGAACGACATTGAAGCCATTTGTTTGCTGCTGTACAAAGGAGGCATGGGTCTGGTGGTGGAGGTGGATGAGACTGAATCGGCGATGTCTCCATTAGGATGCTCTTCATCTGGAGGCTCTAATTTCGGAGATACCAGGACTTTTATGTCGGTGTTTTCTTCTGGAAATGCGTTTGATGACGTGCGGTACATTTTCTTCTCTCTGCAACGGAGATCTTGCCAAAGCTAGAGATACAAATTTATAGTATAGTAAAAGTATCATAATTACATTTTAAATGTTAACTGTCAGTGTCAGAATTCTTAAAAGGGATTCTATCTTATATTTATTTATAAAAGCAAACGTCACAGAATGTCAGAATAACAGGATAAATTGTATGCTAATTTATTTTATTGGTGCCAAACATTAAATAGAATTAATATTAAATTAATACAAAATTAAAAGATATATGTTTTTTGCTATTTTTTAATTGGACTAAACACAAAATCTAGATAGTCTGAAAATACTTAAATTAGAAGTCTTCTCTTAAGCGTCAATGAGAAGGTTCTTTCGGTGAAAAAAACCAAAAGCATCAAGAGCAAAGTATTGTGTTGAAGACAACAGCACAGAAGAGCTTAGCTAAATTATCTGCATTCATAAGATCCAGTCCAATAAACGAATGTTACAATCACATTGACAAATTATTTTGTATATCAAAAGCAGGGGCCGCACCTGTCGTAATCTCGAATTACAAACCTCAGTATGCAAAATTTTGCATTTACCTATTTGCTAAAAATTTGTTAAAATAAATATAATTCCAAATTCTTAGGATGCTCTTTCGTAATTAAAATGAAGGGATCAATGCAAGAAGTGTCTAAGTCACATTTTCAATTAAATTTACATTGTGGCTTCATCTAAGAGTGTTTCACGTAAGGTTTCAGGTGGTATTTTCAAAGTGGCAGAAATATGTGCCCAAGTGCCTTAGTTTGCATTTTCTTCAATGGGAGTTCGCCTGGTTTTCAACTTACGTGAAAACTCTTAGATGAAGCTACAATAACAATTTAATTGAAAATGTGACTTAGGCACTTCTTGTATTGACCCCTTCAAATGCTACGTGAAATTGTTACGTTATTTTATTTCGGACTTTTTACCATTTCTTAAATGTGTTTTCCATTCATTTAAATAAGCTTCTCAGTATTGTGTAGCCTAATGTTTCTACTTTAAATAAATGTATAAAATTGATTTATCAAAAAATATTTCATGGTTAATATCAGAATCAATGGCAGGAGTTTAATTTAGTCCAACATCTCTAATTTTAAATTTTAATAATAACGAGCTTTTCATTTTAAGTTTAACTTAATTACTTATAAGGTTTAATCCATTAAACGTTAATTAACTTAAAAGGTAAATTTTTATTTATATTTAGGTCTTATCCTCAAAAAATTGTTTTTACCTCGAATAATATGAAAATTATATGATATTTATTTTTTAATCAATTTTATCAAGGTAAGTAAAAACCATTTTTGAGGTAAAGGCTAAACATAAAATTTCACAATTTCATAAAATACATTTAGAATCTATTTTGGTGAAAAAAACAGAATATAATGGATGGTTTTAATAAAAACATAAGAAAACAATTTTTATATCATCAGAAACCTAATAATTTAAATTTAATTATACTTAATTAATCATTATTTTAAAATAGGTATTACTTTCATTTTAAATATTGTTAAGTATATAATAAGTCAAAAATAACCAAAAAGTGACAATTAAAATGTATTAATGTCATAAATAAAAGTAAAACGGCCAAGTCCGGCACTGCCCTGTTTATCTACCGAACGCACGCACCTTTCGCCACTGTCTCCAATTCTTGAAACTACCTCCGGGAACCGCGTTCAACGTCTCTGTCAGCTCCATCCACAACCTTTGAGCGTTTTTATGCGTAAAATTCCTCGAGAATTTCCCCATAGACAGCGAAGGATGCCGTCTCATGTAACTGTAGAGCAGATTTTTCTGTTGCGGAATAATGGTTTTGGAACGATTCTGAGCCGACTCCATCTTTGTTCGTGCACGAGACCTTTTCGCTCGTCAAAACTGAAAGACGACGCGAACGGGCGTTTCAATCGGCGCGCTGACAATGCGTATTACAGCGAACGAGTACAACCGATGATGACCGAACGGCCTCACGCGATCCTGAACTTTACGTTACGAGGGCAACGAGATATGTTTGTTGCGTGCAGCGTTGCAGATATTACCTTCTATAAATAGGTTATTGATTTAATTAGGTTTTGTAAAATAAAAGACGAATTATGTCAAAATATTTATTGTTATATAAATAAAATTGCATAGATTGCACTTGTACAATAAAGGCATTGTATATCACAATTTGGATGATAAAAATTTAAAGAAATAATCTTATTTAATTAAAATTACATAGTACCCAAATTTAATCACGCCAAATTACCATAAATAAAAGTTTATAGTAACTTTTTATGAAATTTTACACAATCCTTTTTTAATGCTGTGTATTTCTTCATAGTTTAAATATTAATTAGATAATTGAAGGGGTTGATGGTTAAACTAACATTTAAAAAAGGTGCTGTCCTGCAAAGTTATCAACATCCTGCACAGCATTCCTAAGATTTTTTGCAGTTTACCTCACGCCGTGATCTCTCATTCATTTTGCTTATTTGTGTATCAACTGAACTCACTGCGTGAGAAATAAATCATTTCGTGAGTACAAACGGCGGCACTTTAATGCGTTAAGAGCTCAGAACGTGCGGTAAAACTGAAATAGTTATTTATCTAACTAGTGCGGAAAATGCTATAGCATTATATACTTTTCCGAAAGTAGTAACTTCCCTGCTAAAAAAACTGATCGAAAATGGATCAAGTTTAAATCTCGATCCTTTTTTATCATTTTTGATAAGGTTTTTGTCTCCTGTTTTTGTGATCAAAAAGAATCGAGTTTCGATTCTGTTTTCATGATCAAATAGGATCGAGTTTCGATCCTTTTTGACCACGAAAATAGGATCGAAACTAGATCCTTTTTGATCACGAAAACAGGATCGAAACTCGATCCTTTTTTTATCATTTTTCATAAGGTTTCCATAATTAATTCTAAAATAAAAGATACAATTTACAAAACTTGAAAACTTTATTGGGCACTTTCTATTTCAAAAAGATCGGATGAGGATGACGACGATGATGAAATTCATAATTATAATAATAACAGTCATATATTTTATAAAATAATATGCACAACAATAGTTCCGTGGTTTCGGGGAATAAGGGGATAAGTCATTTTTGGGTCTCCCTTTTCAGACTACTGTCATAAGGTAGAGTAAGAAAAGTTGTATATAATACTACTTTTACTTATTATGGAAACCTTATGAAAAATGATCGAAAAAGGATCAAGTTTCGATCCTGTTTTCGTGATCAAAAAGGATCGAAATTCGATCCTTTTTACCACGAAAACCTTATCAAAAATGATCGAAAATGGATCGAAACTCGATCGTGTTTTTATGATCAAATAGGATCGACTTCGAAATCTGATCGAGAATGATAAAAAAGGATCGAAAATCGATCGTGTTTTCATGATCAAATAGGATGGACTGCGAAATCTGATCGAAAATGATAAAAAGGATCGAGAATTTCTAGAACCTCATCAAATATGATAAAAAAAAATCGAGAATTTTCTGGACCATGATCAAATATGATAAAAAAAAGATCGAGTTTCGATCAGTTTTTTTCAGCAGGGTTTCCGCACGCTGGTAAAAAAAATAATATATGAGCTCATATATGAACTCAGGATTGTTGTGCGGGTTCATCAACCCCTTCTCTTCCAAAATGATCACCAATTATACAATACAATAGATATTTTTTTGATTTATGATAATGGAAACATTGAAAAACAAAACAAGTTTTTGATTTTCAATATTTCTCCATACTCCATACTTGTTTTGGTGCAAAATATACAGAGTGTCTTTAAAATGGCGCACACCAGACCACGCGATAGAAGAGTATATTTTAAGTAAGTATGCAAATAATTACAATTTATACAAAGAAACAGTTCTTTTTCACTTTTATTATAGAAGATAAAGTAAAGGGTTAGTGCTTTAGGATATTAAAATGAAATAAAACGCAAACAATATTGCGCGGCCAAAATGTTTTTTAATTTTATTATTGTAATAAATGTTCACCACGACTTTGTTGACAATTTTTCATTACGTTTTCACACATTTGGGCCGATTGACGTTGGTAAATACTCAATTGTTCTTGGATTGTTAGCGTAGACCTTCATATAACCCCACAGAAAGAAGTCACACGGCTTCAAATTACAAGATCTTGCTGGATAATTCATTTGACCTTATTTCTTCAGGCCAAGTTGAACGATTATTTTTCCCCAATTGTTATTGAAAACCAATTGTAGGAATTCTGGTAACAGAATGACAATAGCGCGTATGAAACAAATGCGTTATTGCAACAGCTTGAGCTGTTTGATGTGAGCTTTATTTCAAGAAATGGTCCTGTGAATTATCCAGCAAGACCTAGTGACTTGACGCTGTGTAACTTCTTCATGTGGGGTTATGTCCAAACTATTTGTCCAAGAACAATTAAAAACTAGCACCAGAAATGTATTCGTGAGATACCGGCCCAAATGTGTGAAAACGTGAATTTATACTGATGCGCTATTATCAACAAAGTCGTGGTTCACATTTGAAATTATTTTCAAAACATAAATGTAATTAGTTGGTATAAAGAAAACATTTTGGCCGTACTACAATATTTATGTTTTTTTTCATTTTAAAATCCTAAAGCACTAATTGGATCACCCAAACTATAAACAAACTACTTATATTATAATAATTTTCATCTTACCAACTCCCTATAGTTAGGTATATTATAAATCGTTAAACACAAATATGCCTTAGTAAAATGTTAATAATAAACGAGATACAGGGCGATAAATGTAAAATATTTTTTTTTGATAATTTGTAATTTTTGGGAAACAATTTAATGTATCAAAATAAAAATTTGTACAGTACCTAGTTTTTAAGGACGATAAATAAAAATTAGTGATTATTTTTTAATGTACTTCTAGAGGGCGCTAATGACAGAGGTTGAATTAAGGTAAAAAAAAGTAAGTATTAATCCAACTCATTCGCCGTGTCATTAGCGCCTATAAAAAAATATCACAATTTTTTTACTTAAAAGTTTTACTATACCAACAAATGTCGAGTTTGATACATACCTACTTACATTAAATTTAAAGAAAAATAAAAAAAAATAAAAATTTAAAAAAATTTCATCTTACATTTATCACCCTTGGCTATTATTAACATTTTATTGATGAATATTTGTGTTGATTGACCTATTTTGATATCCTATTTCTACAGTTGTTGTACTGTCCATTAGTTATGGAACACCCTGTATAATGTTAACAGAATTTATAATATGGAAAATAAACATAACCTACTTAAATGTTAAATCCATAAATTGCCATTCAATTTTATTAAACACAAATATTTAAATTTTTCGCATTCATTTAAAAATATTTGGTTTTATTAATATTTTAAAACACAATTTTTAATATTTTACAACAGGCTGTTATACAACTTATGAAAACATAATAATAAATAGACTTAATATAGCAAATAACAAAAAAGCTCTCTAAAATTTGAAGTACCAACTTCAAGTAAAATACACTACCACAGCTTGCTTTGTGAAAACTTTATAAAAAATGGTGTAAAAGTATCTTAATTAAAATACCTATAACAGTTTAAGTAAAAAATGGCAAATTCTTATAAATATCTATAAAACTCTTATAAATAAACTATGTCAATGTTTAATCATTGCTAAAAAATAGCATAACAATTAAAAAACCACGTAAAAATAGTACAAAATTAAATTATTCTAATTTGTAGGAATTTTTGTGTTACAATTTCCATGCAACACAACTGTGGAATGATTGCATCTGGCGTAATCTTTAAATACCTTTTGATAGCCATGGTCTCGCCAAAAAGTGCACAATTGCCTGTTAAAACCACAATGTATGGTTTGAATTAAGTCAGGGTGTTCGTAACCCATCAAAGTAAAAAAATCCTGATCACCCAGGTGACCTCTAAACTTATACTTTTCTGCCATACCATCTACAGATTGTTTTGATAAAATTTCATTGTATTCCTTTGAATTTCGTATTTTCTTTAAGTTTAACAACAGAACACCTGAATTATAACCCTGGAAGCCCTTTGGGTGCACTGAATTACCAGATATGTCGTTTTCATGGTAGTAGTTACCAAAGGTACTGTTTTTGTTGCTTTTTCTAAAAGATTGCAAGATATGAAGGTACACTGTAGTTAATTCCGGAGCCAAACCAAATAATGCTGTAGGTTTAAAACTAAAACATTTAAATTTTATAAACTTTTATAGGAGTCTGCAAAATATATATCTTTCATTATACCTCCTTGACAAAAAGCCTAAACATTATAGTTATAAACTCTTTTTCCTCCAAACACTATCTAAGAACATTCCCCAAAGTTATAAACAAATATAGTTGCAATGCATCTCACCGTTGCTTACGCACGCTTGATAAGTAAATATAGGTCTGTGATAAAACAGCTAAACAATAATTAGAGTGGGACTAATCTTCTCAGTAATTAATAATGGCTAGTTAAGTTAAGTTCCTGGGTATAAGTGACCATAAGGGCTAGTAGTAATCCCCAAATTATATTAAGGGACATTCTCCTAACAATACTTAAGTCTTATGCGTGCCGCTAGATGGAATATTCTTTTTAGACTGGGTTAACCAAGAAGCAGACGCTTGGAATAATTCTGGGAATATTCCTGACATGTGCAGGAAATGGTGTTTTGCAGTCTGGGAACATACCAGGGACCTCGTATAGAAACATGTTTTAATCTTTCTATGTTACTCGGAACAAAAACTGCAGAAAATGAATTGATATAATTAGAAACGGAACGTTGAAATTCGTTTCTAACAAGTAACAGAAGAGTAATAAAACTTTAGGGAGCATAAATGCTGGGAATTTGAGCAAAACCAAAACACCGGGTATGAAAACAAAACCAGCAACGCCACCTGAGTAACGAAATCGTAACGAAACCTCTCGGTACAGAAACGAAACTATATAGTAACGTATTTTGAGCAACGAAATTGTAATGAAACCTGTATGGAAACAATAATATAGTATATTATTAATTTTACCAACGAACTAGATTTTTTTTAGTAAATAAAACAGCTTATTTAAAAAATAGCACAATAATTATGTTACTATAATTTACTTGACAGTATGATAGCTTGACAGCTGCTAGACAGATCACGAAGATTTTTACCAATACATTGTGTTGTTAAGCTGTTAAGCATCTTGTAAAAACTTTTGAAAATTCAACGTTTTGTTACAGTTTCGTTACTCATTTACTGTAACTAGTTTCGTTTTAATATCCTGTGTTTCGGTAGTGGTTGCGACAGCAATTTTGTTTCCGCTGAAACCGTTACATACTAAGATTTTGTTACTCCGTTTGGTACCAATAAGTATCGTTTCCTAAAGTTTCGTTATCATTTTTGTGGCGCATCTTTTGATACAGTTTTGTTAAGCTATTACATGAAGAATGATACTGTAACAGAAACGCGTTATAAGTCCCTGAAACACACATTAATCTACATTTTCATCCAATTTCTTCGTTATAGTATACTATGTTTCAAGTTACAATCACCATCTTTTGTTTTTATAATGGCAGCCATCTTATATAGGTTACGTATGTGATTTTTTTTATCTAACAATGTAAAATGCCAATATTACGGCCATGGAGCACACAAGGAGCCAGAACTTAAGAGGGGAAATTGACAAAACCTGCCCTCTAAATTATACAAATTAGGTATTCTTTTTTACCGATGCGTACTGACGTCTGTTCTTTTGGTAGCGTTTCAGTACAAATTAGTCAATTGTTTCAAAACAAACGGAACACCAGCGCCCTCTTATCTTAGAAAGATTCTTGTTTACATGAAGTTCAGACTCCTTGTGTAGGCTCCATGATGACGGCCATAGGAAAAAACAAAAGATTGTGTATCAAAATCTAGCAGGCGAAAAAAATTAAAAAATGTGTATGTTTACATGTAAAACTTACTTTTTTTCAAAATTCCCAGAAATAACGAAATTAAAGGAAAGAAAAATTAAGCTATTGTATTATTTGTTATGCTAATCTGGGTAGGTTGACGAAAAATTTGTATTTATAAAAAGAGATACAAAGTAAACCCCAGAGGGACATTTTGTTTAAAATTATTAGTCAATTAACAACGTCAATAAATATTATCATGTAAAATCCACTAAAATATTAAATTTTAAATAAGTCTACCCAGATAAAAAATAGCTTGTGGCAACACTGTCTTCAAGCGTTCAAAAGTTCCCGGACAACATTCGTGATATTCATACGAACATCATGTCGTGATTTTCACAAATTTTATTCATACTGATATCATACGGAAGTCACCGCGTGATAAATTAAAATCATACGAACGTCACGTCGTGATTTTCACAAATTTTATTCATACGGACATCATCCGGATGTCACTGCGTGAGAAATGAAAATCATGTCGTGATTTTTTATGCCATCGTGTTTGCGATTGACCGATGGCCTAAAAAATCATGTCGTGATTTTTTATGCCAACGGTGTTTGGATAATCATTTTTGCTAAGAGAAAAATTATGTTGAATCAACAGTTTTTGCGGTTAAATACATTTAATATTTTCTTGGAATTAAATTAACTATATACAGTTAATTTAAATCCAAGAAAATATTGAATGTATTTAACCACCATAAAAAATCACGACATGATTTTTTAGGCCATCGGTCAATCGCAAACAGCGATGGCATAAAAAATCACGACATGATTTTTTGGGCCAAGAAGTGCAACGTTTCTCAAGACATTTATAATGGTAGCCCATCTTTTGCAGGAAATGCTTCTAAAACCCTTTTAGATAAAGTTGATATTTTGCGATCAGGCTGTTTAAAATACGTACAATGTTTTCAAGACTTTTGCGACGTCGTTAATTCTTGTTTTTCGCTTGAACTTGATCCTAAATTCAACGATTGTATTAAAAAGTTTCATAAAAGTTTCTTGGATTTAGAAATTAGTATTACTCCAAAGGTACATGCCGTAATACATCACGTGCCATAATAAAGAAATAACAAGGGCTTGGATTTTATAGTGAACAATCAATGGAATTAGTACATGCAGATTTTAAGAAAACGGCAAAAGTTTAAAGTACAAAAAAGTAATAAAAACTTTTCTATGAAATTATTACTGGCTGTGCAAGAGTACAATAGTCAGCATATTTAATTTTTATAATATTAATTTATTTATAATAGTTTTTCACTATTTTATGCTACCAAACTGTTCAAAGATAAACTTAATGTTAGTTGTAACTATTATAAAAATGTATTAAGACGAGATTCAAAACTAATCAATAAACATTTTTTTGTATTTAAAATATCATTTCATTAAAAAATAAACGGCTTTCAAAAATTACTTGAAAAATTAACTTTAAATTAATTTAAAAAAAAAACGGCTCTAAGGATGATTTAAATTTTTCTTGTAAATGTTTTTTAAAGGTCCTTAGAATGAAATGCAACAATAAAATCCAATGTCACCTGACCCCCACATTTAAAGTGGCTTCAACCGCACCGTGTATATATTGAATTAACAGTTTTTGTGGTTAAATAAAAACATTTAATATTTTTTTGGATTTAAATTAATAGTTAATTTACATTCAAAAAAATATGAAATCTATTTAACCGCAAAAACTGTTAATTCAATTGTTAACATACTTTTTCTCACACTGTACGAATGTGGCGCAAAAATAAATATCCAAAGATGTCCGATGGCATAAAAAATCATGTCGTGATTTTTTATGCCCAAACACCGATAGCATAAAAAATCATGTCGTGATTTTTTATGCCATCGGTGTTTGGATATTTATTTTTGCGCCACATTCGTACATTGAGAGAAAAAGAATACCTATATATATATTGAATCAACAGTTTTTGTGGTTAAATAAAAACATTCAATATTTTTTTGGATTTAAATTAATAGTTAATTTACATTCAAAAAAATATTAAATGTATTTAAGCGCAAAAACTGTTAATTCAATTGTTAACATACTTTTTCTCACACTGTACGAATGTGGCGCAAAAATAAATATCCAAAGATGTCCGATGGCATAAAAAATCATGTCGTGATTTTTTATGCCCAAGCACCGATAGCATAAAAAATCATGTCGTGATTTTTTATGCCATCGGTGTTTGGATATTTATTTTTGCACCACATTCGTACATTAGGGGAAAAAGTATACTTACATATAATATATATTCAATATATTATATTGAATCAACAGTTTTTGTGGTTAAATACATACAATATTTTTTTGGAATTAAATTAATAGTTAATTTACATCCAAGAAAATATTAAATGTATTTAACCGCAAAAACTGTTAATTCAATTGTTAACATACTTTTTCTCACAATGTACGAATGTGGCGCAAAAATAAATATCCTAACATGTCCGATGGCATAAAAAATCATGTCGTGATTTTTTATGCCCAAACACCGATAGCATAAAAAATCATGTCGTGATTTTTTATGCCAACGTTGTTTTGATAATCATTTTTGCGCCACGTTCGTACACTAAGAGAAAAGTTATGTTGAATCAACAGGTAACAAACTAGGTTTTAAATTCGCAGTTCGCAGGGCTATTACGCATGCGCAAATTTTGCAAAAATCACACCGTGAGTTCTACATGATATCACTGTGATGAAGCATGTGTATGCACTCAGGATATCACGGCGTGACAAAAAAATCACGTTGTGATATCATCATGATTTCACCAGGAAATCCCGATTGTTGTCCGGGTTATTAAACAAAATTATAAATTCTCTGTAACTTGAAAATAACAACCAGTAATTATCCTTTAAAGGTTCATATGAAAAATGGTATATTGCGCAACTAGTGGGAGAAAGAGGAGATTCCTCTTTTGACCAACAGTCGACTATGCGAGCGCACACAATATTTTATTCAACTACCGCCTGAAATATACATAACAGGGTAAAAATATTTTATCCGAAATTTTTTAGGCAGCATCAACGTTAGGTATTTTTTTCCATGTTTAATTTAATGTTAACTTTAATCCAGGGCCAAATGCTATTTTGCCACAAAGAAATGAACAATTGGAAAATTCATTATTTTGCCCACTCCAGTAGGGTTGGGCTTTTTCTTGTACCTACAGTATACAGAAATGATTGACTTTCTATTGTCCAAGAAGATTGCAAACGTATTTTTAGTGAGGTATAATGAAAACAAATTCGAAAAATAAATATACTTACTGGTAAAATTCTTTAAACAATAAAGCGACATCATCCTTAAAATATAAATCACAATCCAACATTATTGCTTTTTCTTGGTTCTCAGGTGCTATTCGGTGCAAACCCAAAGATAAATAAAACAAAGCACTACTATAATAACTCCCTAAAATTAAATAGGTTAGTTTAAACTTGTTACCTAGGTACAAACCACAATTTTCTTTACAGAGCATCCTTGTAAAACAAATACCTATTCTATTATACTTTATAAATTTTGTACATCGGTCAAAATTGGGAGATTTGGCATGAAATCCAATTTTATTAAATAAATAACATTATAAGTAAAATATTTACCTGGTCTGGAGCTAAAATGTGGTGTCATAACATCAACAATATTTTTAATTTTAATGGCACACAAATCAAAATCATAAATACTGTATGGTAACAGTTTGTTTGTATTTAATATAATATCTGATATTTCTTGTTCAGCAATTTCTTTAGATGACAAATCTGTGATGATATTAAACTTTAAAGGCACTGAACTTACGTTAAGCATGTTTATAATTAATTTCCGAAATTTTGTACGTAGAGGTGATTTTCTATCGACTTTTGTAAATATAAGCCAAACATTGTGTTCTTCAAAGGGTTTTAGTATAGATGGGACTTCTTCACTTGTATAATTAATGTAGGAATGGACATTTGTGTAAAACAACGCGTAAATAAATACACATAAAACAACTATAACAATACAAATATTTAACAACTTGAACTTTCGTATCGACATACTTGGTATTTCTTAATTTAAATAAGGCTCATTCTTCTTTAACGGAATGTATTATTGCTGTTTTGATATATAAATACATTCTCTATTAAAAAATAACAAAACACATCACAGTTCTGTGGCTAATAACAGTTTGAAAAAAAAGTTATTGAAAGGTTATGTTCTTGTTTTTATGACCTAACGCCTGCGTGTACGCAACGCAGATTACGTCTTTGAGTTAAATTTAAACATTGGTTGCGGAGCCATAGCTATTTTTCTTAAATTTCATAAATTTGGAAATAACTATTTCTCTAATCGTTACAACTCGCATAGCTAAGTTATATAGACATGTTTGAACCCTGAAAGTCATAGAAATAATACTAGTATTATTTCTATTATCAAAGTAATTATTTGCACATAGGTACCATCTCCAGGACCGTCGAGAGGTGGGCAGACGGGACAAACTCCCAGGGCCCGTAGGCTTTAAGTGCCCGGGTCCGCGGCTTACAATTGTATTTAAATAACTAAATTATAGGTATCCTATAACACTGTACAGTGCCACAGTGGACAACATTCGTGATATTCATACGAACATCATGTCGTGATTTTCACAAATTTTATTCATACTGATATCATACGGAAGTCACCGCGTGATAAATGAAAATCATACGAACGTCAAGTCGTGATTTTCACAAATTTTATTCATACGGACATCATCCGGATGTCACTGCGTGAGAAATGAAAATCATGTCGTGATTTTTTATGCCAACGGTTTTGGATAATCATTTTTGCGCCACGTTCGTACACTAAGAGAAAAATTATGTTGAAACAACAGTTTTTGCGGTTAAATACATTTAATATTTTCTTGGATTTAAATGAACTATATATAGTTAATTTAAATCCAAGAAAATATTGAATGTTAAACTGTTGATTGTTAACATACTTTTTCTTTCAATGTACGAATGCATCGCAAAAATGAATATCCAAACACCGATGGCATAAAAAATCATGTCGTGATTTTTTATGCCATCGGTGTTTGGATATTTATTTTTGCGCCACATTCGTACATTGAGAGAAAAAGTATACCTACATATACAATTAACTATATTAAATCAACAGTTTTTGTGGTTAAATACATTTTGGATTTAAATTAATAGTGAATTTACATCCAAGAAAATATTAAATGTATTTAACCGCAAAAACTGTTAATTTAATTTTTAACATACTTTTTCTTTCAATGTACGAATGTGGCGCAAAAATAAATATCCAAACATGTCGGTGCACCGATGCATCGCGATGGCATAAAAAATCATGTCATGTTTTTTATGCCCAAACACCGATAGCATAAAAAATCATGTCGTGATTTTTTTATGCCATCGGTGTTTGGATATTTATTTTTGGGCCACATTTGTACATTGAGAGAAAAAGTATACCTACATACATAAATATTAAATCAACAGTTTTTGTGGTTAAATACATTCAATATTTTTTGCGGTGACTTCCGTATGATATCCGTAGGAATAAAATTTGTTAAATTCACGATATGATGTTCGTATGGGATAGTAACAACGTTTTATAAATTACAACGGTGTAATGTGAGTAACAAACTAGGTTTTAAATTCGCACTTCGCAGGGCTCATACGCATGCGTAAATTTTGCAAATATCACACCGTGTGTCTACATGATATCACTGTGATGAAGCATGTGTATGCACTCAGGATATCATAGCGAAATAAAAAAATCACGCTGTGATATCATCATGACTTCACCAGGAAATCCCGATTGTTGTCCGGGTACCTATGTCTGGTATTAAATTAAAACTTCGGCCCCCTTTATCGAGCCTAATTAAATATTTAGTTTTAATAAGGTAAGTAGATAAGAATTATAATATGTCTTTAATGTGTTTTTGGAACTTTTATTAAACTCATGAAAAACCCACAAGTATTTACTTAAAAATTTGCGATAACACGTAGGTACGTACCTACTACACAGTGATGTAATGTATCGAGATACATGTATCTAGATACTGGATCTAGATTCATTTTATGTACCTAGATACGTATCGAGATACTTAAAAAAATCAGGATCTACTTTAGTATCTAGATCCTTTTGAAAGTATCTAGATCCTTAGATACAAGATACATTTTATTTTACCCAACCTCCACACCGTGTGGGCCACACGGAAAATGAAGGCATTTTTCTTCGTTCTGATAATTTTGAATTTGTACTACAAATTTTGTAGTAAGCTTTCAGATGGCGCGTAAATATAAAATTTATTTCCGTTTTTCATGGATATTTCGTCAATTGTATCAAAACAGTTTTATTTTATAGTTAACACGCTTGTTTATAAGGTCCAAAAAATTTTTTTTTGTCATTTAATTTTTAAGTTTTTTTAACATAGTATCTGGAAGTAACTTAGATACTTTTTGAATGTATCTGTATCTGTACCCAGATACTTTTGGGAAAATGTATCGGTATCTGTACCCAGATACATCTACCAGAGAGTATCTGTATCGGTACCTAGATACTGAAAAAAATGTATCGGTTACATCACTGCTACTACCTTTTTGTAGTTTTATTTTGATTTTTTAAATTATTTCAATAATTTGTCAAGTTACAACATTTTTAAACTTAAGCTAAATTTTTAAATATCATAATATTTATTTATTCAATACCCATTTAATTTTTTTACTTTAACCGGTGGGCGAAATTTAAAATTTAAGTTAAAATTGAAAAAAGTAACGTTAAAAATGCTTGACTGCTGTCTGATTTAAACTTATAAAATTCTTCTTCATTCCAAACAATACAGGACCCAGGATCTACACAGCAAACGAATAAATATTGAAGTGCCCAGATAGCACAAAGAAGTAGTTACTGGAAACGTCCTGAGTATATCTTGTATCAGACATTAGTAAGTCCCGAGTAGGTCCGAATCAGGTCCTGAACCTTCCTCAGGACGTACCAGGGACATCCGATGTTACCAAATCGTCGGTCCCCAGAACGTCCTAACCCAGTCAGCATCCAAATCAGAAAGATTTCAGTATGAAGTCTTTTAAACAACTTCGTGTAGAAGTTCTAAAATGACGTCTTAAACAGCTCCTTTTTATGAGCTCAGAATTCTGAGCTGTTAATGAACTCATAAATAAGAAGTCAATTTTTTTACGTACAAATGAAGATCTTTTCTTGACCTCTTTTTGAACAATTTATTTTGAGCTTACAGAGTATTCTTTTTTCTTACTTCCAATTGAAATCATACTATTAACTCTTTTAGAAGTCAACATGGAGACGTCACATTTATGACATTTTAATGCGATTACTTTCTTCTCACCGCTGTAACTGCTTGTGTTTGATATAAGAAGCGGCGAAGTAGAATTTAGAGCGTGCTCCATACCAGACGGTCTTAGACCTAGGTAAACGGCTACCCGATACTGACGAGCTCCAAAAGAGCGAAACAGGCCGTCTATCGGTGCCGGTGAAGAGCACGCTTGAATTTAAACAAAAGTGAGACGAAGTAATCGCAATTCCTAAAATAAGCGAATACGAGCAAATTATTAAAATGATTTAACAAATTAATAAAATAAACTTGACATGTCAAAATAAGCAACGATCCAGTATGCAATTTCTTCATCAGTGCCCTAGTAGTACTTCTATATCCAAAACGGAAAATTCTAAAGAAGTCTTTTTATAAGTTTATACAAAAGGACTCTTTAAAATGCTTTATTGCGAAGTCAAAGAAAAGGGTTCCTCAAGAGTTCTTTTTTGAGAAGTCTTGATAAGATCAATAGGTGGCGCATTCGAAGTCTTAAGAACTTCTTAAAAACTTCTTTCTGATGTTGTATTTGACGTCCAAATCATAAAATAGAGCTTATGCAGACTTAATTAAGACGTCATATTGCTGTCTGGGAAGTAAGACATCCTCTGGCCGTCCTGAAAAACTTTATTGGGGATTATTGGACAAGCTATACAGAATTGAAGAGTGGTATTCCCAAAGGGTCTAAGTGACAAAAATAAAATTGTGAGTTATGAATGAAAAAGAAATATTTTGAACATATAAATGTTGGAATATTTTTAAGTCATTCTGCATGATAATATATTATTTAGCCAACTTGACACTTAGACCCTTTGGAAATACCATGCTTTAATTGCTAAAAAAAAACAAAAATTACGTCCTTGGGACGTACCGAGTAAATCCGCTTTAATTTTCCCAAATAAGTAAGAGACTGGACGTACCCAAAATTTCCGATATAGGTCTGGGACGTTCGGACCTATGTGGAACCCGAAATGGACGTCCTGGGTAGGTACATCTTGTGCTATCTGGGTGTATAGGATGTCTCCCCGTTTGAATACTAAATCTTAAAGTTTTATCATATGTATATTGAATCGTGCTTTGTTTTTATATTTTTCGCCTTTATACCCAATGGTGTAATAATATTATACATTTATGATTTAGTAATATTGGTGTTGTAATCTACTAAAATTGTATAATAAAAAATAGTATTTTGTATTATAATCTTAATATTGTATTGACGAATATATAATATTGTTACCCTAAACATTTGTTAAAGTAAATTTTACTATATTGTTAATATAATATATATTTTAATTTTTAATATGTTCGTATAGTAAATTGATTTTACTATCTACAATTGTATTTAAATAGTAATATTTACTATATGATTTAATCAAATGTAAGGTGTACATCTAATATTATAATATATTACACATTAATAAAAAAATATAGTAAAATAAAGATACTTTTATGTTTAAGGTAAATAAACAATATATTTAAATATAATATACATTAATATACAATATAGTTACTCATGACATTTTAAACATTATATTTTCTTAGTTTCTTTAATAAACTTTATTGGCCAATTACTGGTAATACTAATAAGAAAGAATTGAACCTACTTGGTTGCATAGTATGTACCGATTGCGGCAAAGGCCACGTCGCGACGCGTCGTTAGACGGTATGGATCACGTGATCCACAAGATGTAAGAGATGCAAGAACATCACGTAC